ATGGGATGTATGGTATGGTATGGTATGGGATGGTATGGGATGGGATTGTATGTATGGGATGGGATGGGATGGGATGGGATGGGATTGTATGGTATGGGATGGGATGGGATGGTATGAAATGGGATCTAGAAAGGCATCATCAATGCAGAATAGTATGCACAAGTTTAAGAAGGACTGCACCCATCCAGGCATCTTTTTTCAGAGAAGGCCTTGCATGTTTCAGCAAGTCAATGCTCCTCTTACTGAATGTATTACAGCAGCATCGCTTTTGTAGGTGAGGGGTCTAAACTGACCAAGCTCCAAAACCTTCCAAAATCTCACACAACTGGTCTCCTCTGCTCCTATAGAACCTGAACATACTCTGCTCCTAGGTGTTTCATAATGTTTAAATGTGAAATGTTTACTATGTTCCAATGTGAAGGATATAAAGATTTATGAGATTTGCAAACCACTGCATTTTGTGTTTATGTAGATTCCACACTAGATCCAAACCTTTTTGGAATTGAGATTATATTTTTATGGTGACCGACCAAAGAGGGACAACAAAAAGTAGCATATTTATCATTTTTACTGTACATTTAAGCAGCAGGTACATCATTATACCTATCAGAAACCGACCGAGAGCTGAAAAACAGAGCAACACAAAAACAAAAAAATCAGACCTTAAGTACCCAGCAGTATTACAACTACATTTAGAAGCAGTCACACACACACACACACACATACAGGACAGTGTTACAGCTAACAGCGAAGCTAAACAGCATGACTGTTAATTTCCACTGATGAAGGGCAGCCGTCAGTCTTCAAAGCCGTCTTCTGTACAGTGAGTTTGCAGGAGTCGATGTGTCTGAATTCAGCTGCAAAGAGGCCAAACATGCCGAATAATGTGTTGACAGCGATCCACTCGCAGATAGCTCCTTCAGATTCATACTCAATGTTGCAAATACACACTGAAAATGAAAAGTCAAGGAACAAAACATGTACACAGATCACAGATACTTGTATCACTCATTGTGATGTAATTTACATTTTATTATTTTGCTTATATAGTTGATATTGGTTGTCTGTTTTATTCTCTTGGGATATCCATTAACTCTTGGACCATAGGCTCAAAATAGGATCTTATATTACACACTAACAAACTACTTGTTGGCTGAGCAAAACGTAATTTAAAATAATGTAAGGCTTTTTGATGAAGCTATAGTAAACAAATTGTAGTAGTTTGGGCCGCGGCCCCCTGGAGGGCCACCAGGGGGTGCTAGAGGGGCCTTAGAAACCTGGAGAGAAGAAGATAAAAAAAAGCACAAATTTAAAAAATTGTAATAATATTAATAATAAAAATTGCCCACTAGGGCAATCTGTATCTGTCATTTCCAGATAAACACACTTGAGAGAGAGGTTAGATTTATTTTGTTTTGTTCTTCTGGTCAAGTTTGTTGAAAAGTTGTTTTTTCAGTGGGAATATAATACAGTGTTTAAAACATGTTAATAACATTTTTATGCTCAGCAGCTGTAATAATTAATAGAATATAGCGAATAAAAGTTAAAACATTTTAAAAATTGATGTTTCTTTACATATATTTTTAGCAATGTTTGTGGGTTTGTGAGTGGGGGGTGGGGGGGATTGTTAATGCTGTTTGGGGGTCCATGGCATAAAAAAGTTTGGGAACCCCTGGTTTAGCATAGCTGCACAACATCCCAGCTTTTGGGAAATTCAAAATTGTGGTTGTATTCCTTCTGGGTGGGTGTGTGGGGGGGGGGGGGGGGGGGGGGGGGGTAATGCAAAGTGAGCAACAATGTAAAGACTCATAAAGTAGTATAACTTAGAGCAGTGGTTCCCAGGCCTGGTCCTTGAGGAACACCATCCTGCATGTTTTAGTTGTTTCCCTGCTCCAACACACCTGATTTAGTGATATAATTACTTCCTCAAGTTCTGCTAAAGCCTGTTAATCACCACTTCATTCAAATCAGGTGTGTCAAAGCAGGGAAACAACTAAAACATGCAGGATGGTGTTCCGCAAGGACCACAGTTGGGAACCATGGACTTAGAGAAAGGAGTTACTTTAGTCTGACAGAAATCCAGTTTGCTCTCGGTCCTGATAAGGCTGAGCTGTTAGCACAACAATCAAAGCAGAGCCAATCTTTTTTTCTCCACACTGAGGCCCTTTAAAAATCTATCTACAACAGGTAAGATATTCATTGTTCAGAACTTTTTCACAAAACCCAACTTTAAAAATTCTAAACTAAATTCTAACCTTTTTTGTAAAATAGAATTATGAATATAATCCTAAGAGAGTTACTGGGGGTTAGACCACAACAGGAATAAAAATCAAACAGACGGATCAATGTCTTATTCTTACAATTGTGTGATTATTGGTATTGTTCACATGTTTAGTCTTAAAAACACACAGAATGAAAGGATACTGCCAAGCAACGAGAGGGAAGAGAGGACACAGAGGATACCCCTCAAAGGTCCCAACCAGGCCCGGTCTACAGAGGGCTCGACTCGGTAAGTTAAATACAGCTGGATCCAGAAGTAGGGCAGGCCCAAGATAAACGCCACAAAAGCTCCGAAGAAGTGAAGTTCAAAAATGACAGGTCCCTAATGGTGACAAAAAAAAAAAAAACAGAAAAATAACCTGTTTTAGTCAGCATGAAGTAGAAAAATAAAGTAGAAAAATAGTCCCTCCTTTAATGGAAGGCCTATCATGATGAGAAGAATGGAGGTACAGTGGTGCTTGAAAGTTTGTGAACTCTTTATAATTTTCTATATTTCTGCATAAATTTGATCTAAAACATGACCAGATTTTCACACAAGTCCTAAAAGT